AAAGGGCGGGGAGCGACGCAGGGAGACCAGTGACTAGACCATGCTGGGACATGTGCCTAAGACGGGGGGGTGCAGGGTGATCTATATAGTGGTGCCACACAAGGTTCGGATGGGCTAGAGAGCGACAGGAGCAGGACGCGGCGACATCGGCAAATGCAGCAGCCAGCAGGGACTTGACCTGACGTCACTGCCAGCAGCAAATGTGTAGTGTAAAGAGACCTGACCCAGGGTCATGCTCAAAAGTGGCCAAGTGTTGACCGGTGGCTGTGTCTGTGCAAGCGGCATGTCTCTCGCGGCTGGGGAAGGGTAGTGGTGACGCCTCGGTCCTAGAGGTGACCGACACCCACTTAGTTCCTAGCAAACGAGGGGATGTGCAGACTGGTAAGGGAGCTGTAAGGGACAGCTGGACAGGGGAGAGTGGTGGTGCTACATGCGACAGCTCTGGCGGAGGAGTTTGCTAGTGCGACGTGGACAGGCGCAAGAAGCAGGGTAAGAGTAGTACTATATTGAAAAATGCACCGAGATACGCCAGAGTCTAGGATAAAGGTGAGGGCTGACGTGGTGGGGCCCAATGAATAGTTTCTAACAGGTCCTACGCCTGACGCAGCTGGGGAGTTAATGCCTGATGCTGCAGGGGATCCTAGACTACATACACTAGTAGCATTAAGGCTTCAAACAGTAGGATAATAAGAACCAGCACCTCTAGAAGCATCAAAATACAGAGAATACAAGGCATGTCTGATCTAAGTCATATCCATGTCAAAGATAGGAACCCCACGACAAAGCAAGATAGGCCAAGTGGGTACTTGCACCAGCGGGCTGAACAGACGATGGTAGAGGATGTCCAGGTGGCGGAAGCAGTGAGCGGCGGTGTGCCCCACACGCCCGCACACCTGGCCCGCCTGCGGGCCAGTCAGCAGCTGGTACATGCAAGTCACGGCGCCACCAGAACCACGAGCACCCTGACTTACAGAAGAGTCACGCGACCCCCAGGGCACCGACTGTCTTGGGCTCCAACCCCCACGGCCTCCACCACGACCACCACCCCCATGGATCGCCGGCCCCCAAGACTGCTGAGGCTGCTGCTACTGCGCAGTCCCCGACTCTGATTGACCACCCTCTCTGCCCGCACCCGCACCCCCTCCACCCGCTGCTGCCGACCCCCCATGACCCTTGCGCCCCTTGCCCTTGCCCTTGCTGCCAGAGGAGCGGCCGTGGGCAGAGGTAGCCGCTGCAGTATCAGCTATAGAGGCGGAGGATGGGACTGCCACTGGGGAGGGAGCGCTGTCCTGAAAGATAGGGACTGCCGGCGCGCCAGAGGAACCAGCGATGGTGCGGAGGCCATCCTTTACCTCAGTCAGGGAGGTAGAGAAGAGGTCAAGGGTGAGCTCAGAGGGGTGACGAGCGAGGAGCGCATCGTGGGCAGGGGCTAGGCGGTCAGGTAGGCGGGTGACAAGGAAGTAGATAGTGGCGAAGAGGGGGGCCGGGGCGAGCGCTAGCTGGGCCTCAGTACAGGCCGCATGCCAGCGGGCCTCGAGGGAGTGCAGGTGCACGACTAAGTCTGCTACAGTGGTGAAGGACGTCAGGTCAGGGTGGAAGAAAGGGAGGAGGAGACTACCAAGAGTGGTAGACGACGGGGTGGAGTACCTAGCGAGGATAGCTAGCCAGAGGGCGTGGGCTGACGCAGCACCCACAAAGTGGCAAGCACCTGAGGATGGCGACGCGAGCAGTGGCGTCGCGGGACACCCAGACAAAGTAGGCAATATGAGCAGCAGCATGCACAGTCTGCAGCACAGATGTCGTGTCAGTAGCAAGAGCGCCCGGGCGGGGGACAGCAGGAAGGTCACCAGAGACATGGGCATCCAGGGACTCGTCGTCGACGCGCTAACTCGTGAGCTGAAAGAGAACTGCCTCCTGCCAGGCGGCAATAACAAGTGCCCGCCCCTCCCCATCCAGGTGCAGAATGAAGACGTTGGGCGACGCCATGCTGGCAGCTGCGGCCGTGAAGACAGAGGCGGCAGAAGCAAGGACTATGGGGGCAGCTGCTTGAGGGGCATTCGAGACAGGGGCTGGAGTGGGAGCCAGTGGCAGCGGCGACTGCTAGCTAGTAGCGGGGTGGTGACGGCGGCGGGCCAGCAGTGAGCTGGCTAGCGGCGGCAGGTCTGTGAGCTGGCTAGCAGTGGTGGCTGCGTAGCTATGGGCGAGCCGCGGCAGTGGTGGCAGCAGTGGCTGCAGTGGTAGTGGCTGCTGGCAGCAAGAGCAGCGGCAGTGGCAGCCGCTGGAGGCAGCGCGGCAGCTGCAAGGGCAGCGGCGGCAGAGTCGGCTGTAAGGGCAGCGGCGGCAGAGACGGCTGCAAGGGCAGCGGCGGCAGAGTCGGCTGTAAGGGCAGCGGCGGCAGAGACGGCTGCAAGGGCAGCGGCAGCAGCAGCAGCTGCAAGGGCAGCGGCGGCAGCAGCGGCTGAAAGGGCAGCGGTGGCAGTGGCGGCTGCAAAGGGTAGCGGCGGCTGCAAGTGAAGCGGAGGCAGAGGCGGCTGCAAAGGCAGCGGCGGCAGCAGCAGCTGCGAGGGCAGCAGCGGCAGTGGCGCTGCAAGGGCAGCACCTGCAGCAGCAGCTGCAAGGGCAACGGCGGCAGAGGCAGCTGCAAGGGCAACGGCGGCAGCGGCTGCTACAAGGGCACCGGCAGCAGCAGTGGCTGCAAGGGCAGCAGCTGCAGTGGCAGTGGCGGTAGCGACAGCGGCAGTAGGAGCGACGGCAGTGGCGGTTGCGGCAGCGGTAGGGGCTGCAGAAGTTGTGGCAGGGGCAGTGGCAGTGGCTACGGCTGCAGCAGTGGCAGCGGCGGCAGTGCAAGTGGCGGCAGCGGCAGTGGCAGCAGCAGCTGCGATAGTGGCAGCGGCGGTGGCACAAGTGGCGGCAGCGGCAGTGGCTGCAGGAGCTGCGGCAGTGGCAGTAGCGGCAGAGCAAGCGACAGCAGTGGCAGCGGCAGTAGCTGCAGTGGCAGCGGTAGTGGCTGCAGTGGAGAGGCAGTAGTGGCGGCTACAGCAGCGGCAGTGGCAGCGGCTGAAGTGGCAGTGGCGGCTGCAGTGGTAGTGGCGGCAGCAGTGGCAGCGGCTGACTGTGGCTGCAGCGGCAATGGCAGTCATAGTGGCGAGCTGGCCAGTGACGAGCTGGCAGGGATTGCGGACGACTAGCTGGGCAGGGGGGTGCGCGAAATGGAAAGAGTGTCACATGTGCGAAAAAAGAAGCTACAGTAATGGCGGAAGCACGAGTAACGGCGGAAGCGTGAGTATCCATGGAAAAATGAACCCAACCTAGCTCAATACTATGTTAGAGTAGCCGGAAAAGTTGTGACTAAGGGAAAATGTTTAGGGATACAAATCTAGGGCTGTACTCGCAAGACCCTAGCAAGTGAGGTGCTACAGGACCCAGACCAAGCTGTAAACAATGCCGCTGATGATCTTTAGGCGCAAGCACCTTCACAAAGATATCAGCTGTGTTTGCACCGAAGGCTAAGTGTACTACGCGGGCCTGGCGACGCTGCTGTAGCTCGTGCTGGAGGAAGTACTGCAGCTGGATGTGCTTCGCCCTGCCCTCGAGTCTAGGCTCCTGACACAAGAGGATCGTGGCCCTGTTGCCAACGTACAGGACCGGGCCAAAGCTAGGCCACTCACTTAAGTCTGTGAGCAAGAAAGTCAGCCAACAGAGTTCCTGTGCCGCCATGGTACCGGCGTAGATCTCAGCCTCACAGCTAGACTTAGCAAAAGACGAAGAGCAAGTGGACCTCCACGAGACAGCACCTACACCAAGGCTAAAGCAGGCCAGTGCGTCCCTGTCTGCAGTAGCAAAGACCAGGTCGTCTACGTAGACAAGGATGTAGAACTGGGTCTGGCCAGAATGAACGAACTACGAGGGGTCTGCAGACGACGGGAAAAACTGCAGGTCAGCAAGCGTAGCACACAGCGTGTCATGCAACTCACATGGCGCCTAACGCAGGCCGTAGACGGGGCGCCGGAGGAGCCACACCTTGCCAGGAGGGAAGGAACCGGAGAAGCCTGACGGGCGGCGCAGGCAGACCTGCTCGTGTAGACTACCTTTGAGAAACGATGTGGATGAGTCTAGGGAGTGCAGCTCGTAGTCACGCTGTGCTGCTACATGTGGCAGCGCCCGAAGAGTGGTCATCTTTGGGGTCGGGGCGAAATTCTGAAGGAAGTCAACACCCTGTCGCTGTCTGAAGCCCCTAGCAACGTAGTGCGCCTTGAAGACAGGCGGCTCTCGAGGAGGGCGCGTCACCTTGAAGAGCCAGCGGCCATCGACTACGTTCACCCCAGGTGGGGGAACTGTGTCGACGAAGGTACCGATGGATCTCCAAGATGCCATCTCCTACTCCATGGCACCTATCAAATGAGAGGCCCAGGGTCCCGAGGTCGCTTCAGCGTAGTCACGAGGGGTCGGGATATCAAGGGCGTCTAGGTCACCCTCAGGGACTAACAGCATGGAACAGAGATGGGGAGCAGCCTCGGACAGGAAAGCAAGCTCGTACTGCCTGTCCTCTAGGACGTCATTGCCAAGGGCAGGTGCACCCCCGACGGACAGAGGGCAAGCAGGGTCAAAAATCCAGAGTTGTAGCATAGTCAAGGCAGTGGGTAGCAGCGAAGTCAGCAACAGCAATAGCAGAAACCTCGACTGAGACAACCGACGGGAGGGGAGTGACGTGAGACACACCAGATGGGGCAGGGGGGGGGAGGGAGAGGAGCAGGTGCGACCGTGGGAGTGGGGACCAGAAATAGGGGGGGGTAACCAGGGGACCACGGTGGGGAAAGCGGTGGTAGAAGGAGACGGACTCAACACAGGTGATGCCGTGCGAGTGAAAGGAGCGGTGAGACGGCGGGTGGTAGAAGTTCCAGTCAGACGCGTCTAGAGGGAAACCAAGGAAGATGCAAGGGACAGTGCGGAGAGTGAGCTTGTCCGTGCTAGAGGTGTTGTGTGATGTCATCATATGCTATCACATTCTGTCTGCCTCTCATATCTTGTTTCAATTCGCATGTGTGGTTTGAACGTGTGAAAGAATTTGTGTGGTGTGTTCTGGAGTTTGGGAATGTGTTTTGTGTTATTCTGTCTGAGCAGGTATTTGTGATGATAGATCTTGAGAAGATCTTTCCGACGCAACAAGAATCGCTTCAATCGGAGCAAGAACGCGAAAGCTATGAAGATTCAAAGTTCATGAGCTTGCGTTACAATTGCGGCGGTTACAAAGTGAAGTTGTGGGGTGACTTTATATGGAGTTGGGACCTTTGGGGTTGGGGAAACTTGTCACTCTACTGTAACAGCTGCAAATAGGTTGGAAACAACCAAGCTAGGTTGGCAAGGGTGGCCAACTTGGATGGATTGGTTGGGAAGGGACAAAGGTCAAAGTTGAGGTTCCTATAGGGAGGGAATTTTTGTGCTTATGGGGTTTCCTTGGTTGGGGACTCTCTTGGGACCTTCCCTCTCATCCCTCTCTTTCTATCCCAACCTTTCTCTTGCTCCTTCTAATTCCTTGTGACATTCTTGAACTTTGATTGAACTCTTGAGATTGAGTTAAGTTCTCCTCCTACAGCTTACCCCCTAGTGCGTCGAAAGCCATAGCGTCGCGAATACTTCATCAATCAACATGATTCAAATTGGGAACGGTAGCTGAGATTAAGAGCTACAACATATCCAAGTTTCGCGACATTCTAACGGCTAGTTTTTTGTCGACGTCGTTTCTTGTGAAGACGACTTTTCTGTCCAGAATTTCGGATTTATATTTTGAGTAATTCTAGCTCCTAAGTTCACCTAGACTCCGTCCTTAATCCTAACAAGTGGTATCAGAGCAATATTAAGGACATTGAGAGGAGTCTACAGAAGTTTGAAGACCCTTCTAGACCCACCATGGCCTGTGGGTGTGCCTAAGTGGTGTTCTAAAGGTTGGATGTGTCTTCCACTAAGGGGAAACTCTGCCGAAATTTCGTGGACGCCGACACTTGTGAAAATATCGAGGGAGCTGAGTGTGGACAGCAAAGGGGAGCTGAAATTCGTCATTTCTCAAGGAGAAGATGAATGAGAGAGGAGGAGATGCTAATGGAAGAGGAGCTGTAGCTGGGAAGACAAGTGAGCCGCCGCCATCAAAAGTTGAAGCTTTGGATGGCTCCAACTATAAGGAATGGAGCGGGCGGATGAGGAGTGCCTTCAAACGCTACAAGCTACTGAAGATTGCTGTTGGGGAGGAGAAGATGTCGGAAGAAGGCGAAGAACGCGAACGGTGGATTGAGAAAAGCACGGTGCTTTTCGACCTCATCCTTCAATCGGTCAACAAGGAGATGTTCGAGCACATCAAGGATCTTGTGGAAGCGGATGATTCGGGTCCAAGGGCGTGGAAACTGCTACGCGATGTGATTCAGCCCAACACTCTTCCCATGGTGATCGTGCTCGAGAAGGAACTTGCTGCAATCTCCATGCGACCAGGGGATGATGTGAAGCCGGTCCTTGACAAGATCAAGGACACCTATGCAAGGATGGCAGCAGCGGGCAGCAGCGTTTCTCAGCTGCAGCAGTGCACCAAGATCATCTCGGTGTTGGACAACTCTTGGGACAACCTCATCCCCACCCTCAACTCTCAGCAAGATCAATGGACACCTGAGTGGCTAAGGCAGCAGATTCTGCAGGAGGACTTCCGCAGACGCCATGCGGGAGGCGGTGCTGCCACTAAGACTGCTGAGGGGTATGGAGCTGCAGGGCGCGGCAGAGGAAGAGGGGGTTGGAGAGGCCGAGGCCGTGGGAGGAGCTTTGGCAGAGGTAGAGGCCGAGGTGACTATAATGAGGGGCATGGGAGCTCTAGTGGCAGGGGGAGTACCAGAATGGAGGGCACCTGCTGGTACTGCAAGAAGATAGGGCATCCTTGGTTCAAGTGCTTCAGCAGGCCGGAGGGATGGGCACCTCCAGGCATGAAGCCACCCAGTGGTGAACGCGCACAAGGTGGCGCTGTGCAAGGCTCAGGTGCACAAGGTGAAGGTGCACAAGGTAATGCCTATCCTGGTTTGTTTCTTATGGTTGAGGATGTGCATGGGCATGAGGGTGATGTGGGATTTGTGGGAAAGGTTGTGATGCACCCTCTCACGCACTGGGTGATTAATTCGGGTTGCACCAGTCACATGACCCCATGGGCAGATTTGCTTGATGAGGTAAAACCCCCTGGGAAGATCAAGTATGTGGCAGCAGCGTCAGGTGCTTTGCTCCCTGTCATTGGTGTTGGAAATGCCAAGGTTAAGGGAGCTAATGGGGAGCTTGTGGGGCTTGGGAATATTCTGCTGGTTGAAGGCTTGTCTGCTAACCTTCTCTCTGTGCGACGACTGCAGAAGAGCAAGGCCGAAGTGACCTTTGGACCAACCAGCTGCCGTGCTAAGCTTGGGAAGAAGGTGCTGTGGAGTCTGGAAGAGGAGACCAGCTGCATCAAGGACCTGTGGCAGCTGCCCATCATCCCATGGAATGGGAAGACTCCAACAGCAGCAACGGCAGCAGTGGCAAAGGCAACAGCAGGAGGAGATGCAACTGCACCAACTGATGGGGTCCTGGAAGCAGTCAAGAAAGTGCAGCAGCAGCAGACACATGGTGAGGTGCTTGCTGGTGTGGATGCAAGTGCGGCATGGGCTAAGGCTTCATCAAGGAGTGGAGAGGCCGATTGGGAGACATGGCATGAGAGGCTGTGTCATGTGAACTTCCCTATGCTACAGAAGTTGGTGAAGGATGGGAGCCTGAAGGGCTTGGAGGTGAAAGGGGGAGTGAAGGAGATTGGGAGCTGCCCTACATGCTTGGAGACCAAGTTCTCCAAGTTCCCCTTCAACAGCACTACAGGACCAGCCAAGACCCCACTTGCACTTGTGCACATGGATGTGGTGGGGCCCACAAGAGCCCCTTCCCTCTCAGGTAGCCGCTATTTCTTGACAATTGTGGATGACCACACTCGGGCAGTGTGGGTTTACCCTTTGAAGAGCAAGGGGGAGGTGGCAGCGGCTGTCCTTAAGGAGTGGATGCCTAGAGCTCAGAGGGAATGCGGATACAAGGTGAAGGTGATCCGCAGTGACAATGGTGGGGAGTTCATTGGAGCTGATTTTGAGGGGGAGTTGAAGAGGAAGGGGATCCAGCATCAACTGACAGTGCCCTACAACCCGCAGCAGAATGGCGTGGCTGAGAGGTTCAACAGGACCTTGCAGGAGGGGGCACGCACTCTCCTTGGGCGTGCAGGGCTGCCTGATCCGTTTTGGGTGTCTGCACTGAGGCAGGTCGCCCTTGTGAAGAACAGGGTGCTGGCTACAGTTGGAGATAAGGAGTGGATCCTATATGTCAAGTGGTATGGGAGTGCTCCAGCTGTGAACATGCTGAGGGCATTTGGGTGCATGGTGGTGTTTCATGTGCCTAAGGAGAAAAGGGGGAAGTTGGAGGCTTCTGGAAGATGGGGTGTGCACTAGGGGATTGCAAAGGATCACAAGGGGTGGCTGCTATGGGACTTGACCACCCAGAAGTTGACAGTGTCAAGGGATGTGAAGTTTCTTGAGTCCCTGTACTACAAGGAATGGAAGCAGCAGCAACAGAAGCTTCCATCTATACCGCTCATTGTGGAGGCAGATGAGGTGCAGCACCCTTCAAGACAGGTGGAGGTTGCAGTGTCAGAGGAGGAGATGTCTGGGGTGACTGAGGAAGGGGGAGCAGCTGAAGTAGAGCAGCAGCAGCAGCAGCAGCATGAGTCTCCACCTCGAGTTCCACACCCGCCTGAGCGTCCTAGGAGGGATGTGCGCCCTCCAGTGAGGCTGACCTATGGGGGAAGAGGCAAGCCGAATGTGGTGCAGGCTGGGAGTGTGGTTGAGCAGATTGAGGAAGATGAGATCGCTCACTGCTACTGGGCACCAATCCCTGAGCCCAAGACTCGAGAGGAGGCCTTGAATGGACCAAATGGGGAGAAGTGGAAGGCGAGTGAGGATGAGGAGTTTGGGTCCCTGATTGAGAACGAGACATGGGACCTGTGTGACTTGCCTCCTGGGAAGAAGGCAATCACTTCCAAGATGATCTACAGGCACAAGTATGGACCTGAAGGGGAGCTGACCCGCTACAAGTCTAGGCTTGTGGCACGGGGGTTTCAGCAGACAAAAGGGAAGGACTATGATGAGGTGTTTGCTCCTGTGGGGAAAGGAACAACACTGAGGGTGCTGTTAGCGATAGCTGCAATCCTGGGATGGAAGATACGGCAGATGGACATTGTGACTGCCTTTCTGAATGGGATCATTCTGGAGGAGGTGTACATGAAGCAGCCAGAGGGGCTGGATGATGGGAGCGGCAGGGTCTGCAGGCTGAAGAAGGCCATCTATGGCCTTAAGCAGGCGCCTCGTGCATGGTATCACATGTTGGAGGAGGCGCTGCTGGCTGGGGGTTTCAAGAAGAGTGATTGTGACCCCAGCCTGTTCCTGCTGCAGGAGAAGGATGAAATCCTCATGCTCTTGGTGTATGTGGATGATATCCTTCTCTTTTCTGCATCCACTGCTTTGCTGGACAGCGCAGAGCAGATGCTGGAGATGCAGTTCAAGTGCTCCAAGATGGGTGAGGTGAAGTACTACTTGGGGATGCACGTGGAGAGAGATGTGGAAAAGGGTGTGCTGAGGTTGCACCAGAGGAAGTACTGTGAGGGGCTGGCTGAGAAGTATGGGCTGCAAGATGGGGGAAAGCCAGCAACACCACTACCTTCAGGGTTTACTGTGGAGCCATGTACTGATGAGGAGGTAGTGGGTGAGAGTGACAGGAAGCTGTTTCATTCGATGGTTGGGTCGCTGAATTATGCTGCAAATCATACACGGCCTGACATTGCATTTGCTACATCACGATTGGCTAGTGTGGTCTCACGCCCTAGTCATGAGCAGCTGGAAGCGGCCAAGAGGTTGGTCCGCTATGTGAGTGCTACGGCATCAGTGGGATTGGAGTACAGTGGAGTAAGGCAGCGGTTGCAGAGAGGTGCTGCAGATGTGAAGAGTGGTGAGATGCTCTTGAGTTGCTATACTGACGCTAGCTTCAACTCAGTGAAAGCGGATGGCACCAGCATTGGGGGTTATGTGTGCTTGCTAGGAGGTGGTGCTGTGAGCTGGCGCAGCAAGAAGCAAAATGAGGTGGGATTGTCCTCATGTGAGACTGAGTACATGGCCTTACACCATGGGGCCAAGGAAGTAGTGTGGCTAAGGCGTTTGTTGGAGGAGTTGGGAGTTGGTCAGGAGGAGCCGACAGTTGTGTTTTGTGACAATGAGTCCGCTGTGAAGCTCGCCAAGAATGCTTGTCTGCATGGGCTGACAAAACACATAAGGCCTAAGTGGCATTGGGTGAGGAGACTCCTTGATAAGGAGGTGCGGCTGGAGATAGTGAAGACCCATCAGCAGGCAGCAGATATTTCCACCAAGCGTCTGGCGGAGGCGGATCATTGGAAGGGCATGAAGCTTGCTGGGATGAGTGTGCATTGAGTATGCATGCTTGAGATGTTGGTATGGTGGTTGATGGTTGGCAGCCAGAGGGGGAGATTGTTGTGTGATGTCATCATATGCTATCACATTCTGTCTGCCTCTCATATCTTGTTTCAATTCGCATGTGTGGTTTGAACGTGTGAAAGAATTTGTGTGGTGTGTTCTGGAGTTTGGGAATGTGTTTTGTGTTATTCTGTCTGAGCAGGTATTTGTGATGATAGATCTTGAGAAGATCTTTCCGACGCAACAAGAATCGCTTCAATCGGAGCAAGAACGCGAAAGCTATGAAGATTCAAAGTTCATGAGCTTGCGTTACAATTGCGGCGGTTACAAAGTGAAGTTGTGGGGTGACTTTATATGGAGTTGGGACCTTTGGGGTTGGGGAAACTTGTCACTCTACTGTAACAGCTGCAAATAGGTTGGAAACAACCAAGCTAGGTTGGCAAGGGTGGCCAACTTGGATGGATTGGTTGGGAAGGGACAAAGGTCAAAGTTGAGGTTCCTATAGGGAGGGAATTTTTGTGCTTATGGGGTTTCCTTGGTTGGGGACTCTCTTGGGACCTTCCCTCTCATCCCTCTCTTTCTATCCCAACCTTTCTCTTGCTCCTTCTAATTCCTTGTGACATTCTTGAACTTTGATTGAACTCTTGAGATTGAGTTAAGTTCTCCTCCTACAGCTTACCCCCTAGTGCGTCGAAAGCCATAGCGTCGCGAATACTTCATCAATCAACATGATTCAAATTGGGAACGGTAGCTGAGATTAAGAGCTACAACATATCCAAGTTTCGCGACATTCTAACGGCTAGTTTTTTGTCGACGTCGTTTCTTGTGAAGACGACTTTTCTGTCCAGAATTTCGGATTTATATTTTGAGTAATTCTAGCTCCTAAGTTCACCTAGACTCCGTCCTTAATCCTAACAAGAGGCACAAACGTGAGCAAGGCAACCCCAGATATGAAACGCAGATACGTCACCAAGGACCCGGTCCAGAGAAGGTTTGGCAAAACCTGCGGCCGCTGAGAGTGCGGCCACAGGTTTCGCTGGTGAGCAGCGTAGCGAACAGCGAATGACCACAGAACATGGGGTGCACCGACATGGATCATGGAGGTATGAGCCACCTCCATGACCAAACCGATGTGTCGCTCAGCGACCCCATTCTGCTGCGGGGAGTCCGGCAGGGTGTACGGCTGGGTGATGCCCTCCGCACAATAGAACCGACCAAGGGAACCGGAGGCGAACTCACGGCCACGGTTGGAGTGAAGCCGCAGCACAGGGAGACCTTGGTGGACATGTGCAGCGACAAGCCAAAGGATAAGAACGGAAGGCACATTGGCCTTCCGCTCAAGGGGAAAGACCGTCGTGTGGCGCGTGTAGTCATCGACAAGCTCTGGAAAGTAGAGCTCGCAATGCGGCCCATGTACGGGGGCCGTGCCCGAGACGTCCATGTGCAGGGTCTGCAGCGGTGCAGTGGTGGGGGGGAACGAGGAGGAGTGAGGAGCACAGCGGAGCCAGCCCTCGACGCAGGGCGTGCACAGAGGCGCTAGCAAGGGAGGAAGCGCAGGGAGCGGCGCAAGGAGACCTAAGACAAGACCGCGCTGGGACATGTGGCGCAGGCGGGGGAGGGCGGGGTGACCTAAGCGGTGGTGCCACAGCAGAGACGGGTGAGTGAGGGACCGACATGAGCAAGCCGCAGCGACTTGGATAGACACAGCCACCTGGGGAGGCGCTCCCACTGGGGGGGACGCGGTGTCTAGCATGAACAGGCTGGACACCAGGTCGCGAGGGAACGTGGTGAGGGGGCAACTTGTGGCGGCGTCGATACAGATGGCGTATCACTCGTGGTCAGAGAACGTATTGGTGACGCCGAGGTCCAGAAGACAGCCAACACCAACTAGGTTCCTGGAGGACGAGGGGGTGTGCAAGCCTATAAAGGAGTCTGAGGGAACCGCCGGACAAGGAAGAGTAGTGGAAATACGTGCTACTACCGAACCTGTGGAGGGGACAGCAAGTGCAACTGCGGCAGGGGCGACAAGCGACGTGAGCATAGTGTGGTCGCGAAAGAAGCAGGTGGACACTACACACAGTGTGAAAGAGAGCGCGGCAGTAGTGGTAGGAGGCAGAGGAGCTAGGGTGGAGCCACGGCTAAAGAAAGTAGGGAGGCCTATGCCTGATGCAGCAGGGGAGCCTAGACTGCACACACTGGACACACCTACACTCAGTAACACAGGGTAATAAGAATCAGTCACGCGAGAGTCATCGACGTAAATGGCATACAAGGCAGAAAAAGTCTGGTTCATATCCATCTCAAATATCTGGAGACGATGACTGAGCAGGCAGTGCCAATCAGGGAGGTCCGGCTCAGGGTCGAAGCGGAAACGAAACAGGTCGTCTAGATGACGAAAACAGTGATTGACCGGCCTTACCGCACACGGAGCCACGATGAGGACCGGTCTGGAGCTTGTACTGGCAGGGTTTGACATCGACACCGCCACCCGACACCAAGCTGCCCGCATTGCCACCTCGACTACCACCAACACTGGCGCCAGGCCACCCTGGGGGGAGGCAGCCCAACTGCTGCTGCGACTGCGGCTGCTACAGCTGCTGTGGCACTTGCTGCTGTGGCGGTTGCTGCTGCTGCTGCCGTGGCGCCTGCTGTTGCTGCTGTGGCTGCTGCTCCGGGCAGCAGCCCCAATCCCCTCGTCAGTACTACCCGTGGACAAACCACCGCCACCACCGCCTCCAAACCCTCCCCCCCTACCCTCGTCGTGCCCCCTTTTGGGGCGGCGGCCCTTACCCTGATGGAACTGCACTGCAGCCGCCGCAGCGGCGGTCTCAGCAGCAGCGGCTGTCTTGGCAACAGCCGCTGAACCGTCAGAGTAAGTGCACTTAGAGGGAGCACAGCCCTGAAAGATAGGGACCGGCGTAGTATTGCTAGACTGAGCCATAGTGAGCTGGCGGGTCTCTATCGCAGTCAGGGTGTTGACAAAGTCAGGGAGGGTGAGGTCAGTGGGGTGAGGACTCGGAAAGTGGTCTCGGGCTGTGGCAAGGCGGTCAGGGAGTCGAGTGGCCAGGAGGTAAAGGATAGCGCAGATGGGGCGGGAACACGGTAAGTTGGGCCTCAGTGCTAGCAGCGCGCCAACTTGCCTCTAGGGTGCGCAAGTGAGTGGCCAAGTCAGCGACGGTGGGAAAGGACGCGAGGTCAGGGAAGGGCATGGGGAGAATCAAGCGGCCGGCAGAGGCAGAGGAAGGAGTGTAGTAGCGCGCAAAAACAGCCTCTAAGAACTCCTGCGCAGTCGTGACTGACGTAAAGCGGGGACGCTTAGACAGGGGAAGGGCATGACTGATAGCGAGCTGCTCTACGGCATCACGCGATTGCTAGACAGCACGT